GCCGGCTACGTACCAGGCTAAACGCAATGAGAGAATCGGGTTAAAGCGCGCGATTTCGGAGAGTGGAGACAAATCGATCGATGGAATAGGATGGAGTAGAAGTGTAAGATGTGAATGCAACGAAGCAGAAGGCCAGAAAGAGCTTCTAGTGAATGCACTCCAAGAACCAAGTTTGAGCATCCCCGTCGCCAGCATTCGTGAAAGACGTCCGTGGGCAATTCGAACGCGTAGCAGCCTTTTCGAGTTTTCGAATTTCTAATCAAAACGAAAGCAATACTTCAGTTCTTTTCACTATTATCGTGGATAATGAGTCTCAAGCCAGTGATTTATGGCTGAAATAGAATCATGATTTTTCCGCGCAAGATTCCTTTAAACTTGATGGTCCGTCCGACGTTTGTTTGTACGTCATGTTATGATTGTTATGGGATTGTTTTTCTCAATGGAACTTCTTTTTGCGTGCCCACTTTTTCGATTTGGCTAGAAATTTTTCGCAAAGGGCGGTTTGATTCCTGAAAGCGTTGGTCACACTCTTTCGGCGAGAAAAGGCTTTGTTCGTGCGTGGCGTACGCTAGAGTGCAGCAGTGCCAAACGGAATATTTGGAGGGAAATTCATCAAAGAAGGGTAATCTACCTCCTATTAATTCGCTATACAAAAAGCATAGCAAATCAAGCGAGCCTATCCGATCACCTGCAAATCCGTCTCTTCAACCATTTGACCATCACACGCATATTCATTCACAGTATCGTCCAACAAGAAGATGGTGCTTGACCATCGAGTTCAGGGGGAAAAATCTGGAAAAGGGCGACGCACTTGTTGAGAAGCCTAATAGCGCAATGTTTGGAAGAGGTCGGTACAGATTGAGGGGTTCACTATTGGTTGGTTTATTCTTGGGGAGAATGGAGTTAAGTCTAGTTAAGGGTTTAGCTATTTTTCGTCGGCAGGGCCTCCCATTTTGCAGACTTAGAGTCCAAGTACCCTGCAACGAATGTGGGAGCAATTAATAAAAATTTATAGAACAGATGTAGAAATTTTTTTCTAGTAAACACGACACTACTTATAGGACAACCTAATATATAGTGGGGATCATGTGGTTTTTTTTGTTTTGCTTCCAGTTTCGTTTTCAGTAATTTGTATGATACTAATAGGGTTCCATTTGATACTCAAGAATTTGTTGCTAAAAAACAGTAGTTACTCATATATTCGCTTCGCTTTTCTTGTTTTAGAGCTGTCCAGAAATCAGTATCAGAGCAAGCAATTGAAGGCAAAGTTCGGGCTCAGACCCACCTAAGAAGCCCTTACCATGGCTAGAAGTGCTGGGTACGCAAGTGCAAGGTAGCGCCACCTTTCTACATCGAAACGCGTCACTAGGACCCTAGGCGCCATGGACTTCTAACAGACTCCACCAAACTTAACATGGTCCGCCCACCGTTCGATATCTGTCTGCGTCGCCACGTTGATCTGCTATGCTCTCTCTTCTCGGACTTCTCTACCACTCTCCGCGCTCACATTATCTCTCATCTCCCTGCCTGTCTTTTGAACTTCTCCACAGCATGGAGCAAAATGCTCGTATTTCCTGTGTATTTCAGGATTTTCTTCCTTTCTCCACTGGCGTCCACCTTCCACCCCTACTTCACCTCTTTCACATTTGAGTGGAATCACCCATCAATTTGATCCTGATTCTTGCCCTTAAATGGGGTCACCTCACAGGCATCTGGAAAGGTGCCAAGTGGCCTGCCGCTCGCTACAGTGATCCAGTAATTACGCTACCGTACTCGCGACATCTTCGCAGCGAAATGCGTAACTGGAACGCTGGGCGGTAAGTACTTGGGTCAATCTCCTCACAGAAAGATCAGTATCCACCATGGGATATCTTGCCTAAATCGCAGTGTTGATATGGTATGCCGTCTTGAATATGTTCTTGTGCTTAATTTTTTAGATCGCTCAAAGTATCGCCGAATGCCTTTTCGGCCGTAACTACCTTACTTACATATACTTATACTTACAATAAATTGAGAAACAAAATCGAGTCGCATGTAAGATATTAGGCAGTATACATGCCAAACTCCTAGCGTTGTAGCGTAAGTCATCATAACTCCTTTAGTCGTGCTACATCATACGATGAAACCTTAAAGGACGAATTCACGATGAAAAAGCAACCCATTTCAAATTAACCTAGGGATGGTGAGTGGTACACGAAAGAAGGAAGAACCATGAGAAACGGCCCAGAACCCGAGAAATGGTACCCCTTCCTTGCCCGTTGATTCGAGCATTGATGCGACTCTCATCGCTGTGCCCTCTTCAACACTACGCTCCGCAAAGAACTACCACGTACTCGCGAGGTATCAGATGATCGGTGGGGGCGGACCCGCCAGCTTTGAGGCATGATAGGTCGCCGAGGTCAAATTTTTCCATGCGAATTGCGCGTCAGTTCGCACCCTCAGGAGGTCCGTGGGTCCCTCAACTAGGTCAGTTTCCCTTTCCTTCGACCTTCATTCTAATCGTGAATTCCTCCTTCAATGAATTCAGTGTCGTCTGAACACCTTCCTCCGTTTTTGTTCAGATTTGATGAGCTTCTCGTCAATCCTGGCTCTTGTTTCTGCCGAAGGTATTCCTGCACTTTCTCACAATATTTCAATGGCGCTCAGGACATGCGTCAGAATTGGTCCCTCCTTTAGAAGCACAGCATGCTGTCGAAAGCCCTCCTTCACAATAGAGGTGCGATGGTTTACCGTCGCTATATTGCCAGAAGGCGAAGTAGTATCGTACAAGTGTCAGACGTGTGAATTCACAACACCTTCTTGGACCTAAATGCGTACGTCCGCTTTCACCTGATTGGAAATTCTGTCAAGTTATCCGATGCTGATCTGCTCGGCGAATGGGCTTCGCACACTGGAAAGGAGATCTCCACAGAGCTCCGACGGCATCTGGAGCAACGAGAATAAATTCAGGATGATCGTCTGCAATGGCAGTAGGCATGTTGGCGCCCTGACGGAAATCATTCCGATCCAGAGCATCAACTGCAATACGTGAAACTAGGCGGAGGCTCGGGTGGGGTAGTCGATAAAAGGTGATAAAGCACTGCACAGAATTCGAGAAGTGGTGATTGCGGAGGTACCCAGATAAGTTTTGATAGGCGTTGTGTATCTATACGTGTGACAACTGTACGCTTCTGATGGCAATAGAGCGACCGTAAGCTTCGCACCTTTACTGTGATGGACTGGTTTCGACAGCATGCTGTGCTTCTAAAGGAGGGACCAATTCTGACGCATGTCCTGAGCGCCATTGAAATATTCACATTCTTGTATGAGCTTGCAGTGCTGGCGGCCACTGCCCTCTCGAGCCGATTCCACATCCCTTCTACGCAGCGCAGCTGAGGTTCTTGTCCTTCCATAAGATTGAAATTTTTACTTATCGGAGAATTGTTTCTGTTTTCTTTTCACCAACGTGTTGTTCTTCGTTTGATTTCCGATAATAAATAAATCATTAAAACCCCGGAATAGCAATCACGATGCTCTGAACGATGCTGTTGGAAAGGACTTTGGATAGACTACCGATCTTATTTGTCATGGTAATTCTGACCCAGGTGACGATACTGAGGCATCCACAAGGATCGATAAAGTTCCGGTCATAGAGTTTGGTTCTCACATCCTCACGTTCTCACAATTTCATGTTCAAGTTGACTTACTGTGTTTTTTTTTGACAGATCATCCATCTTGGCCAGTGTTGAGGAGGGGTGCATTGTACTAACAACTGAACAAGTATTTAAGCTGATTCAAATGAGTTGAGAGTTCTGGCTGCCAAAGTCCGAAGTCGCACAAGTGAGCCTACCCATATTTTCCGTGGAATACGGAAGAAGTTGAGCACAGAGACTTTTTTGGTGATGATGCTACAGTCAACGCGGAAGTCAGCCGTTTACAGTTCCAATGCAACGCTTAGCAAAAAAATGAAGCAAGACAAAGTCAACTTTCTTGTGATACTGTTGAACCACCCATCGCGACATAATATTGAGGAACTAGAAACAATTTTGTTCACAACTATGAGCTAGATAGGGTAAAACATGAGTTGAAGGAAAAAAGAGCAGCTGATGGTCCATAGGGCACATTGGTACAAGGAATCAAAGCACCTAAAATTTGTACGACGAGAAATAATACTCGCTCATGCGGTAAACCTGAAACTTGAGCAGCGCTGGGAGCTTTGTGCAAGTACCAGTTCTTTTTATCAAAATTCTCGTGCCAATAGCAAAATATCTCTCAGTTTCGATTATTTTCAGTGACAAGCCGTCGTTTCTCAAGGAGGTTCCGAAAACTCCAACGCCTCAGTTATCCGAGGAAGGTTCCAGTACTATCAAGCCTTTGCCTATCGGCGAACGTTCCAGTACTACCGAGTCTCCGCCTCCCGACAAAGGTTCCAAAACTACAAAGCCTCCGCCACCGGGCGGAACCTCTAGTGCTACTGAGCCTACGCCACCCGACGAGGACTCTAGTAGCTCTGTGTTTCCGCATTCCGACGACGTTTGGGGGCGCTCTCTTTCCCCCTATCGCCTCTCACGTGACATATACCCTCGTGAGTTGTTCTACCTTGAACGTGAATAAGTTCTATTGAGAAAACTTTTCTTCTTGCTCTAAGTCTTTGTTCCCACGTAAACTCCACACCTATGTCCTAATCTGAAGGTAAAAATGGATCCTTTCTATCATCCAGATATATCTGCTCCCCTGAAATCTCTTTATTTCATCTTTCTAGCACCCAGCAGGCTTCTCTTTCTTTTCTTCCAGATTCATGTTCACACCGGCAAGTCGTTCTTTTCTCAACCGTTTGGGCTCACCTCATGAATTTTGCACAATTTTTCGTTGTTTATTTTCACAAGTTGGTTTAATGGTGAACTTTTCTTGTTGCAGCCTGTTAACTGCGAGTTTCTCTTTTCTGCATTTGTTATACACCACGCAGACAGAACAGTATGAGAACATCAAGGGATTAGTGAAGAAGACGAAGAACATCCGGCTCCGTGCCCACTCGATTCCGCTGTCCTTCCTGCCCTAACCTACGCCTCAGAGACTTGGACTCTGCGCAGGCAGGACGAGCATGCGGTCAGCGTTATCCAACGCGCTGTCGAGAGGACGATGCTAGGAGTAACCCTATACGCAGAGGAGCCGGAGTTCCGAACTACGCCAACGATCGAAGATCAGGGACGCTGCCGTTTTCGCCAAGGAATCGAAGATAAGGTGGGCCGGACACGTCATGCGATTTTGCGATGACCGTTGGACCAGAGCGGTTACCGACTGGATCCTTCGAGGACTTCAAAGTAACAGGGCGACCGCCGAGCTTGTGCCCAGTTTTCACTGATGGTCGCTGGGTGCTTGGTTGTTGACACGTTCCGAAGCCAGCACCCCATCTGATGAGCGCTTAACGATTTCTGCACCGAACATAGCAGACATCACTGAAAAGGAAAGTCATTGTAAGGCCCCCCAAGTAGAAGTGTGGATTTAAAATATTTGATTGTCGCCAAATGCGACAGCTGGCCCGTTTACTACGATTCTATCCGTGCCGTGCTAACGTACTTTTGCTGCGAATCTGGTAGTACTTCGTGTTTGAAAGAGAGAAGCTGATCTTTTCGTACCGGTTCAGCACCAATGATCCTCTGCAGAGGGCTCTTCTATGTCTGGCAGCATGCTTCAAATTTATAATGTTATTCTGCAGAAATTCAAGCGGTAAAAATTCTAGGGAGCTACAACTTGTCTGTGAAGCCATACTTACCTTTGTATGAGAGCGTTCCAACTGAGCGGCCGATGACCTTTGACGGTGAAGTTGAAATAAGAGCGAATACAAATGAGCGTGTGGACGAAATTGAATTAAATATGTTGGATATAGAAATTATTGAGGAACGCTGTGCAGTTATTGTGGTACGTTTGCAACTGTTGCTGACGAACTTATATCGTGATTACGCTTTTATAGGATAACAGGTCTATAAATATTCGTAATATTTCCGTGAGCAGGGAGTACCAAAAAGTGGTATTTAGCATGGACGAATTCATCGAAAAAGATGAGGAGCTCAAGATTAAGGTACACATGAAAAATTTCCAGAATATCCTAAAATTACGCTCCGGCACAGCAAGAAAAGTATGACGAGCCATGATTAGATGTATGAACAGGCCTGTCTTCCGGTTCGTGAAGTTGACCGCTTTTCTGCTTCTGTAAGTGAAAAATCGTAAGGTCTTTTACATGGACCGATTATTCAAATTTGTTTTTTGGGTGTTATGGAATTGCATGCGTAGGGCGCGGTCTATTTTTTCTCAGCGGCCGTATCAATGCCAAAAAAGGAATGAAAAATTCATTTTGAAAGTCTCTCTTTGTAGCTTTTAAGTAATAATGTGAACATATATCATTGATATATTTGCATAATGAAACGTTCTCGTAGACAGGGCATTGAAAACTACAGGGTGTCCCAACATTATTAACATATTATTTACGAAATTCAAAAATTTGTTGGCAAAAGTACTCGATTATTCTCCCTTCATTTGCTGATGATTAGTTACGCACGGTCCTCTTGTAACCTGTTTGATTGTAGGTGTGAAATCCCTACTATCTTCAGGAGGGCGGGAGGTCTTTCACTGCGACCTGCGATCATTCGCATGCACGAGGCGGATACCCCAATGAAGGACAATGTCAAATATTTTGTAGTTTCCACAAGGGTTATACGGAAGGTTATCCTACGATACTAGGAAACAGCGTCCATTATGCATAGGCCAAAGTGCGTTTCAAAAGTATGTGGACACCTCACAATTCACGTTAAAAAGGTAACTAAGAGGTTTCGTGCTATGAAATCCTCCTCAATCGATTTCTCGTAGTCGATAACCTATCAGTAAGTTTAAGCAGATAATATCGCCTTGCTTTCGTAAAAAAATTTTGAATGAATTTTTTCTTTGTTTCAAAAGTATGTGCACACTTAACAAAAGACAAAAACATAGCTGAGATTAGAAATCAGTGGGGCCTCCAGAGTTTCTAATTAGCTCAAACATCCTGTCCGGCATAATCTGAACCACGTTTGGCATAGCTGTTTCGTCGCTGTCGGCCCAAATAGCCTCTACCGCCGCCTTCAGTTCATCCGCGGTATTATACTGCCGGTTGCTAAAGTTAACGCCTTGATCAAGGGCTCCCTATAGGGTTGCAGTAAGGAGGACACACAAGCCAATCTATCGCTTCAGCACCATTTGGTTTGAGGCCATTCTTTGGTAGATTGCGAAGCATCGAAAGACACGTGGTCCTGTTGCTAAAAATGCAATTTTCGCTCCGCTTCGCTAAGAAAAGGCAACAGGTGACATTGGAGCACTGCTTGGTATTCTTTACAGTTCATACGCAATAATGGAACGGCAACTTCTGAATTTCCGCTGCTTGCGAAACCGCCGCAGACCCATCAACGGGCCTCTCCGAAATTCCTTCTCGAGAACACGAGCGACTCACGGCCAAGCCTCTCCAGCAGTAGCAAAATCCACCCGGCCCGTCAAGATCGAACTCTTTCCATGAGTTAAGATTACCTGAGGAGAGAAAGTCATAAAAAGTTGCTTGTTTTGAAAATAGGAAATTCTCGAAAAACCGTGTCTATCCCGGTGTCCTATCCTATGTTGCCATGTTTGTACGAGCAGACTCCAATGTGGCTAACTTGTGCTGAGGCCTTGAAGTGAGTAGCCTTTCTCAGCGTCTGTCGAGTGGTGTATTCATTTGAGCGGATGAGGGGCTTAGTGGTCATTTTCGAGGCTGGAATAAAAATCTGAGCTCGGACTGTCAATGAAGAATCCGACAGGATGTGGGCTACTCTTTTGTTGTTCTGAGCAGTCAAGGATCGTGGATGGAGCGGAGTGTGTGCTGAGTATAATTATCAGGGTGCCAGATAAATCTTCGAATGCATTAAGGAGAACGACCAAGTTATCGTGCGATTTCTAGATTGGAACGTTCATTATCATGCAGAACCTTGATCTGAGCTTGCTCATCTTCAGGAAGAAGTATGCCGCGAATTGACATGATGACGAAATGAAAACAGCAAAGTCGGATTGAAACCGGTGGAAATTTCGGCGCCAAAATCTGATCTTCTTCAAGTGTGCACATACTTTTGAAACAAAGAAAAAATTCAATCCAAAATTTTTTTACTAAAGCAAGGCGATATTATCTGCTAAACTACACTGATACGTTATCGACTACGAGGAAATCGATTGAGGAGGGTTGCATAGCACGAAGCCTCTTAGTTACCTTTTAACGTGAATTGTGAGTGTCCACATACTTTTGAACGCACTGTATATGTTGCTCCTAGTATAGCACGGTCACTGACGGATGGAGATCTTGCGTCATTTTATTCAAAAAAATTCGAGATTCCACATCGAATATTTGAGTGAAGAAAGCTCCAAGTTCTGGCTTGTTCTAAGAGAGGTAGAAATTCCATTTGAAGTGCTTACTGTCCTTGCACCGTGCTCTTCAGCTAGAGCAGATCATGGATTCTCTCAATACGCTCTTCTGGACGCCATTTTCCCTCAAAGGCAAACTCCGAGAAACTAGTGCTATCAGCGCTTGTAGTGATAGCTTAGCTGCGGAACGACCTGAAAGTGGGAAGGAAAGCAAGAGAAATCTTTGGAACGCTGAAATTAAGGCCTTACCCTTCAACAGGGTCGGATGTGGTACGATGGCGAGAAAGGGCGGTCAAAGAAGACAAAATACGCGAGAGAGCACGTCGTTTGAGAGAGCACGCTGATCTCTACATCAATGCACGCTGATCTCACCACTCTCGCGGTGGGTGGGAAGCGTTGGAATTGGGTCGATGGTTGCAGGCCCGTAAGGATTAGCGCCCTAACCGCGCAATTTTTGCGACGAAGCTGGAGTGATCTAGGTAGGTACAGACCTTACAATTTCCCTAGTGGTATCCTCCTACTAGTCGGGCCAATCCCGGGGTTTGCCTTTAACGTGCACCAAATTATAGGCGAAAATGGAGTTTGGGGACCACTTCTTACTATCTTATCCTTAAAACTATGAAGCACTACTTTGCCCTCTAATACTAAAGATAAGATGATACGCGATCGACTCATTTGATGCTTTTTTCAATTGCCGATGAGTGCTTCACACATCGTGCCTACATTTCATCCAGATCCTCCACTCCGAGCACTAGGCAAAGTGTCCAATACCTCAGACTAGGACCGCTTTTTTGGACAACTACAGGCCGACGTATGGAAGCACCTCCGCAAAAATTCAAGAATACACCGATAGATCCTGGCAGTGAGAATATCGTAACGAGGAAATGGACACGTCTTTACAACCCCCTTTCATAAAAAAATGATAGCTTTGGATGTACGAGAGGGACGCTGAAACGAGACTGTAGATTCATGTCCCAAGCCAAAATTGCACAAACTGGCTTCTGCTTCTATCCTTTTAGGAATTCTTATATATGTCACATTGGCCAGGAAACAGGGCAGGGAACGAGGTAATGAACAAAGGCAATTGAGCAGTCTCTCACTTCAATAGTAACCTTCAGCGATCGCTCGCGCGTCCCTTTCGATTGGAGCGCACCAACTGGAAAATTCACCAAATCTGCCTTTTATTCGACATACTACAGTGCGTTTCATAAATATAAGGTCACCCTAAAATATTGCATTTCCGGAACCAGCAGCCAACTGGTGATTTTTCCACTATCACCAAATGATTCCCCACTACGAATAACCCCTGTATCGCAATTTTGGTGGGAGCAGCTTTTCTTCGAACTTTTTTGTAATTATTTTTCGATTTTTGCACCGTTTCATAATATAAGGTCACCCTGAGGAAAAGAACAATTACCTAAGATTAATGACAGATAAAATAGACATAATAATGTATGGTTCCTCCTTTATCAAGGGCAACATTGAATAGTCTCGTGGCCTACTGGAATTGAGATTCCAAGGCAGATGACCATCGATTCACTTCCGTGTTCACTGGTTGCTTTTTTCAGCTCTTTGAAGTTCGTAACTGGCGTTTATCCGCATAATTCTTCATGACAAAGACGCCCCTGAGATATTCTACTAAAATACGACTAGAACTTCAGAATAATCTGTTCAGTTCATCTGGTTTCGAGAGAAATGCTGCTTCTGGTTGAGTGACCTACATGGGTACCTGTGCTGTTCTGTATGACTACGTAGGCTAGCCGACTTCATCAGCTCAAGGAAGAGGTCAGATGTCCTCGCAAGGCTCTATGCTAATCTTTGGAGTCCATTATGCAGTTCATGGAAGCGAAATTTTGACACAACATCATACAAAAAACACCGACACCTTTGACATCCTCTTAACAAAAATTGCAAGTCCTCATAACACCAATCTAATCATTGATAGATAACCTTTTTGTGGATGTTCGAAACTTGTAGAATATCTGGAGACGTAGGAGCTTTTCAATTATCCATGAGCAGAGCTAAGGACTGTCCGAAGTGCTTTGGAAAGACTCCCGAACCGTGCCAAGCACCATGAAATGCATAAACTTTACCTTTTCTTCAAAAGACGAGTACGAAACATTCCATAAATTTAGCTAATGGGTGTGTTTGTAACAAACATTCAATTTCACAGGCAGGTTGGTTGTTTCTGATAATGTAGTATTCATTTTCACAGGGTGACCTTATAATTATGAAACGGTGCAAAAACTGAAAAATAATTATAAAAAAGTTAAAAGCTGCTCCCGCCAAAATTTCGCTCCTGGGGTTTTTCATAGTGAGGAATAAGCTGGTAATACTAGCAAAATTGCCAATCTGCTGCTTGTCCCGAGAAGGCAAAATTTTAGGGTGACCTTATAATTATGAAACGCACTGTATAACTTTTTTCGTTTTGCGACCATTTCAGAAAATGGACGCAGATTCTGATGACAAAAAACTCTTTTTTGTGCATTGCGCTGAACTTTTTTTTTACTAAACCTGTTTCACCCCGCGTGTTAGAGACGTCTCGTCGTCTATCGAGAACGCTGAAATTTCATGCCACTTTTACTTTTCTTTGGAATTCAATAACTTCTTCAGTGAGAATGTTTCGAAAATTTCAGACAACCCTCCGTAAAGAAGAAGATTAACGAT